TTGAAACTTCAACAGGACCTCATTGCTTTGTTAAGCAAAGGAGGATTTGAACTTAGAAAGTGGGCCAGTAACCACGCTGCCCTGTTATCCAAGGTACCAGACAGTGATCGTCAAATGTCCTTATCTTTCGACAAGGATGAACCCACTTTCATCAAAGTTTTGGGACTCCAATGGAATCCCGTCTCGGACACTTTTTTGTATAGCTGCCTACCATTGGAGAAGAGTTGCACAAAACGTAGTATACTTCAGGAAATTGTCCGAATTTTCGACCCTTTGTGTGTTTTGGCCCCTGTGTCTTTATTAGCCAAACATTTAATGCAGAGACTTTGGAAGCTTAATTTAACTTGGGACGAGACACCGTCTCAAGCTATAGTTGATGAATGGGCAAAGTTTAAGGAAGAACTACCGGAATTATCAACTTTTTGTTTGCCTAGACAGGTAACCCCTTTCGAGGTCGTCCGTCGTGAATTGCACGGCTTCTGTGATGCCTCGAAAATCGGCTATGCTGCCGTCGCGTACCTACGGGTCGAAACCCCCTCCGGTGCAATTTGCGTCAATTTAGTCTGCGCCAAATCCAGGGTTGCCCCCGTCAAAACCCTCAGTGTTCCCCGATTGGAACTATCCAGTGCTCTCATCCTCAGCGATTTGCTCGCCTTTGTCCAAACCACATATTCACCTATTCTGACGATTGATGAAACGTTTGCTTGGTCTGATTCCCAAATTGTCCTCGCCTGGCTAGCATCTTCACCCTCTCGTTGGAAAACTTTTGTAGCGAACAGAGTGCATCACATTCAAGAAACCATCCCGCAGGCTCAATGGAGACATATAAGGTCTGAACAAAACCCTGCTGATTGCGCCAGTCGTGGACTCATGCCAAAAGAGTTTCTGCAGCATACCCTGTGGACTCAGGGTCCAGAATGGTTATCCCTTCCTCGAGAATATTGGGGAAGTCGCCTGGATAATACCGAGTTGAAACTGGATGAACCTCTTCCTGAGGAGAAATCCTTAACCTGTGCCCTTAGTGTAGAGGGAAATCTCTTGGAGGTTAATCCATTAGATAAACTGTTGCAAAGGTATTCTTCCCTTCAAAAAATCCTTCGAATTGTAGCTTATTGACGTCGTTTTTATCGCTTCAACCAACCGGCTCATATTCCGACAAACGTCCTGCCCTCTGAAGGCGAGCTTCATTCTGCGTTCCTGTTATTAGTTAAACATGTTCAACGCGAATGTTTTTCAGACGTTCTCAAAATTATTGAGACTAACAAAACATTACCTAAACCTCTTCGAAAATTGGCATCCTTTGTGGATGAGACGGGTCATCTTCGAGTGGGCGGTCGCCTCAAGCATTCCCCACTTAGCTTCGACCAAAAATTCCCCATTTTATTGCCCTGTGCTCATAGATTAGTTGAACTAATTATCGAAGACACACACCGAACACACTTACATCCTGGACTAAAAACTTTGCACCATTTGATTTTGCAAAAATGTTGGATACTGTCTGCCCGACGTGCCATTAATCGCTGCGTTTCTCGTTGTATAACATGCTTTCGAGCTAAGCCCAAACCCTACACGCCTTATATGGGAGACCTTCCAGCTTGTAGAATATCCCAACTCAAACCCTTTTCGCACGTTTTCATTGACTTTTGTGGTCCTTTTTACATCGCCATGAGTAGAGTTCGTGGAGCAAAAACCCTGAAATCATATGCTTGCGTTTTCGTTTGCTCCTCCACCAAGGCGATTCATTTTGAATTAGCCTCAGATTTGACGTCGGATGCTTTTTTGGCTTGTCTTCGTCGTTTTGCTGCTCGCAGGGGTCGTATTACAGAAATTTGGTCCGACAATGGAACCAATTTTATTGGAGCTTACAATCAACTCTTGCAAATTGCCAAAGAGGTATCGGAAAACCTTTCGATTTTATGGCGCTTCGGCCCACCTGGTGGTCCCAATTTCACCGGACTCGCTGAAGCAGGAGTAAAGTCATTGAAAACCCATTTGGTTCGCGTCGTCGGTGAGCAGAGGCTGACTTATGAAGAGTTGAACACCGTATTAATTCAAGTAGAAAGTCTGCTAAACTCTAGGCCCATTTGCGCTCAGAGCGATGACCCGAATGATCTTTTGCCATTGACTCCTGGTCATTTTTTGTCTATCGAACCCTCAAATTCCGTCCCTAATCGGGACTTTTCTCATCACAAACTCAACACGTTATCCAGATGGCAACTCCTTCAAAGACTTCATTGCGATTTTTGGAAGAGATGGCACTTGGAATACCTAAACTCCCTCCAGCAACGATCGAAGTGGACGATCAACAATGATGCAGTAAAATTAAAGGCATTGGTTGTTATCAGAGATGAAAACAGGCCGGCCACTCAGTGGACTATGGCTCGCATTATTGCACTTCACCCCGGCGCAGATGGAATCGTTCGCGTGGTGACTGTGAAGACCTCTTCCGGTTCGAATCTCAAACGACCGATAACCAAGTTGTGCCCTCTGCCAACTATGGTTTAGATTGCAAATTTCACAGCCTGTTTTTTGTTGTGCCGTCTTATTAGTATTTACACATTTACATAATTTTTATCGTTATTTTGGTTGGGGTTTTATTAATTTTTTTTGAATTGGAATGGGATATTTCACTGCCTCCTATACTTAACAAGCCATGAAGTTGGAAATGACGGCAACGTCGCGTATGGTGCTATTTTGTTATTGGGTTATGTGTTTCTGTGTATTGCTTTCATTGTGTATTGTTGCAGTTTAGTATTTTTGTGGGCATTATTGACGAAAAAGTGGATAGAAACACACCAATATATTGCCCATATTTAGTTGATACCTGTTCCTTTGTGCTTTGATTGCAATTTTTTAGCAAATGGGTACAGGAGCAAAAATGAAGGTAAGGTGAGATAAAACAATAAAAACAATATTAATATTTGTCTGCAAGAGCATATGTCTCGATATATTATCTAAGATATTTAAACTTGTTCCAGATGCCATGAAACTATTGTGTTCCTGGGTGCAAATCGAACTATTAGGAGTTCCGTAAAAACTGAAGAAATGCAAACATTTTCATTTCCAAAAAAATTCTGAATTGCAAAAAATGTGGATGAAAGCAATAAATACACCAAGATAATTATACCCGAGATTATACAATAACGAAAAATTCTGTGGTGTGTTGTAAACATTTTGAAGAAACCGAAATAATTAGATTTGAAACAAACAAGGATAAAGGCGTAGTTCGAGAGTTCAAACTGAAACGTCCAACTCTTAAAAGTTGCCTCTTATTTTCGAAAATCAGCTCAAGTATTTGAATGGACCTGCCTTCCGAAAAAATCCCGAAGAAAGAAAAAGTTAGATTTTTCAAAAGACATACTGAAACATAGGCCTATAAGACTTTAGACTCTAGAAATATATTCATTTAAATCAATTATTTACTGTTCTTATTTGCACAAATAGTTATACTATTCATTGAATTACTGTTTTTGGCCCTTTAGTACAATAAATTATGCATTTTTCGTGATTCATATTATTAAAATAAAAAATATATATTTATAAAAACAAACACCACCAGCACCACTTGGCGGTAAGATTGCGGTGTTGCCTTTTTAACTTCATGGCTTGTTAAATGTAGGAGGCTGTGGATATTTACATGCAAACATGCGTAATTCAGTTGCATCTTGTTTACTTAATTTAATTTTTTTTGTTTGGTTCTCGAAAAACCTCATTGTTTTTCCGGGGCCGGTAATGTTGATGCAACGATTTCGCGTTAACTTTTTGTGGGTCAAATTTGACCCTGTATAATAGAGGCATGCATTTTGCGTTCCATATATCGCTGAAGAATAGAAGCGCAGCGCGCGCCTCATAGAAATACCTAGCGAAAAGGGTAACAGTACCGATAGTACAATTGAGTTGTAGTTGCGGTTTGGTGCGAACCCACTCGAAACCTCGGCGGTTCCCAAACGATTTTCGCGACCGTTGAGTTTTTATCGTACATATTTCGCCGTTTGAACAATTGATCGTGAGTTAAAGCCTTCCAGGGGCGCCCCTAAAGTTACGAGACCACAGAAGCCAAATTGGGTAAGCGACAAAACCTTTTTGCATGACCTCACTTAATTTCTCATTTTTTCGTGTAATAAGGACGCAATAATCGCAATACAGTCCACTAATAATTCAAACATAATAATTGCTTCCTCAGTAACTATTAAGAAAAAGATGAACAATTGAACTGTCATTTATGAATTTATAAGAAAGGGTCAATAAGCAAATACATTCTTGGCAAGTAGGCCTATAAAGTAGAAACAAATGTTATAGCCCCCCCCCCCCGGCGTCACCCCATTTTGCATGTGCCTTGGTCAGTGGGGGTTTTATAGAGTGGGGGACCTAACTAAGAGGGAAACGGGGCCAATCCAAGGTGAAAGCTATCGTGTCGAGGGATGATACCACTGCACGCGGGGATCTGTAGTGGAGGACCCTGTACTTCCCTTGCTACTCGTGGGATTTAATATGAGTAACGGAAACAAAACAAAAAACACAGATATTCCTGAAGAGGAAACAATGGAGGTGGAAAATCCGACTCTGGCAACAGAGGCCGGAGAGACACCTTCAACCATCCCTCCAACATCGGACCAGGAACAGGAATTGTTGCGGTCTGATGACGGAGACAGTCGGGAGGCAGTAAGCACCGGAACAAAAAGAAATAAACAAAGAAGGAACCTGAGTCGTTTTATCAAGAGCGGGGTCTCTCACGAAACCGCACTGAAAGAGGTGATTCGAAAGCGGGCGACCCAAATCCAGCAGCCAGAGGGGGATAAATTCGACTCCGGAGCTGCAGGAAAACGTCTGCGATCCGACACTAGCACCACAGAAAAGGCAAGTAAACGTGCCAGGGCTGGTGCTCCAAGCTACAAGGCTATCGCTGGAGCTACTAGGGTGGGACTGATTACCCCAGCGCAGTCTTCACCAGCGAACAGCTGACCAGTCTGCAACAGGCCGTCCTAGAGGCGGTGCACAACATGCCAGACGGCGGTCCGCAGGTGCGATTCCAGGGCTGCACTCATCGCCCAGAATGGTTGCAAATAACCGGTGCTGACGACAGCAGTCTGGTCTGGCTGAACTATGGCCTGAACACCCGAGAGTGGATAACCCTACATCGGGAAAGCTCGGGCCCGGGACAGACATGGACCTTTGCCGTCGACGACGGATCCCTAGAGGAGTTGAGGTCAAGTCCATTGACTACTTTGGCTTCGGCCAGGTAAGGTTTCGTCTCAAGGCCAAGGCTTCTCAAGAGGATGCTGGGGAGAAACAGGGGGTAAGCAACCCTCCTGTCAAGAAACCAGATGCGGCGGGGCCTTCTAGCGGCAACCAATACAGGGCGGTGAAAAAACACCGACTGGGCAAGCTAAATCCATCCCGGGTAGAAACCTGAAAAATGGGGACCGGTAAGGGGGTTTTAAGAGAAGGGACCTAAAGGCCTTGACAGACCTCCATTGCCCCTATTCTTGAGTTCCAGGGAGTAGAAAAAACGAGAGAAAGTAGGTGGCTCCCAAAACTGTGAAATGACGCTATTCTTGAAATATTTCCATGGAAAATTTTGGGAATTTTATTACCTCGAGCGAGTTGAGAATTCTATTGGTCATAAGTAAGAGAAATTTGATAGGGAGTGGAATTTTCTAATATAAGCTTGTCAAGGTAAATTTTCAAAATCTGTTTGTTTGTTTTCCAATTCCGTTGTGTCGTGTTATTTCTTGAAGTTCCTTTCATATTATTAGTTAGCAAATAATAATGCATAATAATAATGAAATGTTAATTTGGAATAATATTACGAATGATGATGTTCGAGAAGATTTTCTCTCTTAAAGTGACTCTTTCACTTTTACATTATCGAAGCACAAATTTATACAACTTTTTTATTGGCCCCCTCACTCATACTATTTAATATTTTGTGTGGCTAACTCCGACCACAAAAAATACAAAGATTGACAATGAGTCCTTGTAAATCTAGGGGTGAATTTTACTGAATACATGTTGGTTCTTATGGATGAAAAGTCCAGCAGCATTCAATTATTGATGCTAGGTGCAAACGCCCACCATACAGCTTGGAGAAGCACCGATATCAACAACAGAGGTGAGTTCTTATCCAACTTTTCATTAGGAGAGGGGCTTATCATAAACAATCCAGGCTCACAGCCAACCTTTGTAACTATAAACAGGAAAGAGATACTAGATTTGACAATTAGCTTAGCTCAAACTTTATTTATTTAAAAAAATAATCGACTAGCGCGTGTCATCCGAGCCATCATACTCGGACCACAGGCACATAGGATTTGAAATTAACACAGGCCCACGAGAGGCCGTGGAGTACAGAAACGCAAGGAATACTGATTGGGACGGATATAGAACAGCCCTTGGAAATAACTTGCGTGACTTCACTCTGTCCATCAGAGATCGTGATCAGCTGGATGACATGGCGGACCGAATAACCGATGCCATCACATAAGCTTTGCAAGAAAACTGTCCATTAAGGGTTAAAAAAGATAACAGAAGCACACCCTGGTGGAACAATAGCCTGAATAAACTGAGGAAAGAAGTTCGAAAATTGTTTAACCGGGCTAATACAAAAGGTAACTGGGAAACCTATAAAGCTGCTCTAACGAATAACAACAAAGCAATAAGAAAGGCAAAAACAGAATCTTGGGGGAAGCTATGAGAGGGCATAATAGATGTGCCTAGCAGCGCGCGAATCAACAATTTCCTGTCAAAAGAGCGTGTTAGCGAGGAAGAGTTAGGGTCGATAAAATGCCCAGATGAATCCTACACACAATATATAAAAAAAAAACGTTAGAGATTCTCGCAGAGAACCACTTCCCAGGAAGTCTGCTGATGAATGGCCTCCAGGATGCCCAACCCAATGATCGAATTGAACGACCTGGAAGAGAAGACTCGTTGACAGCCAACAAAATAGTTACAGCGGCGGCCATAAAGGGGGCGGTCATATCATTCCACCCTTTTAAATCGCCTGGGGAAGACGGCATTTCCCCTGCACTGCTACATAATGGACTTGGGATCCTGCTTCCATTCCTAATAAGACTATTCGGAGCCAGTCTGGTGTGGAACCATATACCACCAAGCTGGACAGCTACCAAGGTGATCCTTATTCCTAAAGCGGGGCGGCAAGAACCCACACCCCAAAAATTCAGACCAATAAGTCTGACATCGTTCCTCCAGAAAACTTAAGAAAAGTTACTGGATGAGTGGATTAAGGGGAACGCGCTCAGGACTTATCCTCTTAGGGCCATATTCTCCGTAGTTCATAAAGCCTGGCTTAGTAGAAAAGCTCGGCTTTGTCACACAAAAAGTCAATCATTTCCACTAAGCCAGGCTTTATGAACTACGGAGAATATGGCCCTTAGTACTCATCAATACGCCTATCAGGTAGGAAAGTTCAGAGAGCTGGCTCTGAGTAACCTGGTCGCTAGCATAGACGGCTCTCTGGAACTCAAGAGCATTATACAGTTGCCGCCTTCTTGGACATAGAGGGAGCTTTCAACAATGCGATGCCAAGCTCTCTTTACGAGGCAACAAAATCTAGAGGCATCGACCCGCTAATTTGTAACTGGATTAGGACTATGCTGAACGGTAGAGTGATAACGACTTCTCTACAGGGGAAAATGGTCAGGTTAAGGGCCGCCAGGGGCTGTCTGCAGGAAGGGGTACTCTCTGCGTCTGTGGTTACTTCTAATGGATGACCTCTTGGCCGTAATACAACTTTGGGGGTCGAGGATTAAGCATATGCGGACGATCTAGTTATAATAGCCAAGGATAGTTCTCAGACGAGGGTCTCAGCTGCACTCCAAGAGATGCAAGACTGCGTGCTTGATTGATGCGAGAGAGAGGAAATGACAATCAATCCTCACAAAATGGTCATAGTACCCTTCACCAGAAGAAGAAAAATTGATAACTTGGTACGCCTAACTATTCGGGGAGAATTAGTACCATTCTCAAATGAAGCAAAGTATTTGAGAGTCATCCTGGACAAGACTCTAAACTGGAAGGCTCATTTGGAAAAAGTAAGTGTTGGCGTAATGGTTGATGTTTTAGAATCACCTTCGGAGTTACGTGGACTGTAAGCGCAACTAATGAATATGTAGCAAAAAATAACCATACAAAAGACAATATGATAAAAGGCGCCTTACCTGTGGTTCTGGGGTTCTTCTAGTTCTAAGTTAATTTTTAATACCGGGATCCCGGGTTTTGTTTCGGTTGCACAACACTACCGGCTTTTATTTCGAAACCGGTAACCGGCGAGCTCGCGAATTCATCGACTTTCTTGTGCGCGAAAACGGATTAAAAAATGTGTGTTCGTGTTTCGTGTTTGGCGAAAAGAGAGAGAGTGTTTCGCAGTCGCTTGGCTGTACGAATCTAGTGTTTTTCGTACCTTTTTTGTCGACCTCGGTTCCATACCGAGGGCGCTGGTGTTCCTTGCAATGGAGGCGCTATACCTATTTGAATTTGTATGGTTTTTCAATATGAGCAAAATTCGTGACTTTGACACTCTTGAAGAGATGCACGTACAGTAAGCCAAAAGGCAAAATTGTCGCTTTTGATCTGCGGAAAGACCTGGGAAACAATTCCAAAACAGATTGGATCTACACCATGGTTATCAGACCAATGATAACCAATGGTTCTGTAGTATGGTGGGGCAAGGCGAATCAGAAAAGGATTTAAGCCACACATAGCGGACTGCAGAAAATAGCTTGCCTGGCGATAGTGGGAGCGTTTTGCACCACGCCTACAGCAGCTATTATATGGAAGTCCTCATAAAACTGACTCCACTTCACGTGAAGAGGCAAGCAATGAGGTCAACCTATCGGCTGTACCATGCTTCAAAAAGCACTTTGGAGGGGAGAAGCGCAATTCAACACACGGTGCTTGTGGATGAAATAAATCGACACTGCACCCTCTGACATAATGCCAAAGAAAACCAACTTTGGTTTGCCCTTCAAAAGAATGATTTCTGACAGAGAGCTATGAGCCAGCGGCAGGATCGAGCTACTAAGGGCAAATATTTGCCTGTACACAGATATCTCCAAAACTAAACATAGTGTCGAACCAGGGGTAGATGGTGAAAAACCAAGGCTGGGAATTTCCGTCAGCTTTGGCAAAAACGCATCCATATTTCAGGACGCATTGCTGGCCATCGAGCTTGGCGCGAAAAAGCTGCTGGAAAAGCAACAAACGCACAAGTCGATACAAATATTTCCTGATAGCCAAGCTGCGCTGAAAGGACTGGCATCCATACATTGCACGTCGAAAACAGTATGGAACAGCAAACAAGCCCTGACCCAGCTAGGGGAAAATAACAACGTTTCACTAGTCTGGATACCGGGACATACCGGACAAGAAAGCAACGAAAAAGCGGACCAACTTGCAAAATCCAAGTTTACGATTTTTTTCATAGTATGTACTGAGCGAAGATTTTTTCCTGATACTCCTGATTCCTTTGTTATCGATAATTTATCACATTTAGTTTTTAATTTTCGAAAAGGAAAACCTAAGTCAAAAATATGCTCTACCGTTTTCTGAAAAGTTTTAATTGGTTCATCGGAAAGTGGTATATTTCCCCAAATAATATTTTTAGCCATGTTTATAAATGTTGTAAAATTATTAGAAATGAATACCCTACTCATCTTTGTCATTGTTGTGCTTTCTCCCGATTCCAAAATTATCTCTGCAGCAACTGCTTCGTGACCAGACATTCCTGAAGCAAGAACTTTTCATGGTATATCACTCTCTTGGATATTGCTACAAACATAGTCTAGGATCGTCCGATAATGACTCGTTTCTCTAGTAGGCTCATTCACAAAGACCTTTAGATTAAACCAGGGAAGTGAGTCCACCAGTGATTTTGTGTATCTTGAATATTTATCTTCAAAATCGATGTTTAAATCGCCTGCTAATATAACTCTGGATGAGAGAGAAAATTGTGACAATAGAAGTTCCAGTGAATTTAAAAACTGTAGTGGATTTCCCGAAGGTGGTTGATAAACGCAGATAACGTAACGGCAAGTTTTTTAATGCGAACTACAGAAAATTTGAATTCGTTTGGTTTAATATGTGATGAATATTCATCGATATCAGTAATTTGAAAATAATCGCTAAAATTTTCATGTGCCAGAATCATTGTTCCCCCATAAACATTTTTACGAGAATATTTTGGTATCACATTATATTGCGGATTAAAACAGACTTCAT